CCGACCAACGCCGATCGTGGCCGATCGTCGATGCGTTCTTTGCGCGACGTACGATCTCTCGTCGTCATCGGCGGCGCTCACGAAAAATTCAATTCTTATCGAATTGAGGTGCACGAGTCGACATAGATCATCCGTCACGTGGTACGCCGTTACGGCAAGTCGTATGAGGCACGGATCACCGAGGACGAGACGCCGCGATCATCTTATTTGACAGGTAAATTTCGAACTGCATTCCGACAGGTGATAACGCGAAGGGGAAGGGATCACGTGACCGGTTTGTGATGTACTCCGAATTTCGCGTGCACGTGTACGAAAACTTTATCGGGGTTTTGTGAAAAATAAAGATATTACGGAATAAAGGTATGAGGTCATTCGATCATCTGTAAACATCGATATAATGATATACATTAACTGTGATGTAACTTTCGGAAAGAAGAGATAATTATTGTAATTATAGACTGCGATGCACGAGTTTTGTTTGTTTTATTTTTAAATCAATGATAATGATATAGACAAGGATTATAATATATGTCATAATGCGTACATTCAACGTTCCCAGTTTTATCTACTCCAGAAGTTAGCTATATTTTTATTCGCGTTCGCGTAATTACTTTGTATGCAAAAGAAGCAAAAGAATCTCGTGTCTGGCAGGCAAATCTTATGAAGTTTACTTCGAGATTCGTTCTTGCGAATCGTAGTACTGGATATCATTAAGTAACTGCACGTGTCCATTTGATGATAAGTGACTTTTACAGCGATCGTTTAAGTTCAATTCAAGTGTTACGTATCAGCGTAATCATTTTTCAAATGTCATCTAATAATTATGACATACATAAACAATGGTAAACGAAATTGACTGTAAGAAAATAAATATTTAAATAGTAAATTGAAAAGTACTCGGCTCCTAATATTTATGTTGGCTGTCAAAACTTTACAACAGATATGTTATTTATTAACATAATGATAATTGAGCGATTGTATGATTACATTTTTTGTTGGTTGAAAAAAACATTTGTAAAAAAAATAGATTTTATATTTACATATATGGATGCATATAGTTTAACAATATATAAAATATAAATTGAATTAAATTAATTAAAAGTTATAAACGTATTGAAAAATTTACTACAAGATTTTAGATGTATACAAATATATATTTATATTTAGTTTCTATATCTTTATATTTAATATGTTTTTTATCTATAATATATATATTACTGTATGATTCAAGTTTTTTTATTATATATCTTTGTAAGTAATTAAGCCTAAAATTAAAATTTATTAGAAGTAAACTCCATATAAAATTAATAGAAGAATATACTTTTCTTGTAATCTTTTAACTCTATACAAAATTTAGTTCGCAAAAAACTCTTCTTTTTTGTTCATCGTTTATAATTTATAAATTACTTGATGTTTCGACTTTTTTATTAAGAAAAAATAATTTTTAAATTATCTAGAATCTGCTATCAAAAAATATTCGGTTTTTGAGACACCTTATATATTGTATGTATAGTTACTCTTATCAGACACGTTATCACAATGATAGTCAAAATTTTTAATGGTAGGTAAAATTCGTGACAGTCAATATATTAATTTATTTGGCAGCAATATTTGTTAGTATGTCATACAGATATGATTCAACGCAAACAGTCCCTTACATCAGGTCTCGCAAGTTTTTAGGATACTTTCACTCATATGTGACGGAAAATTAAGGCAATCGAATATACGATATAGAATGAAAAATATAATTATTGTTAAAAAATTATTTATATTTCTTTATCTGTGACCAATATATAACTGAATGAATATTCAGATTTATTTTATTAACGATATTAATATTAATGAATGAATATATTCTCCGAAGAATTTGAGAAATTTATTTTTAAGCCAATATTTTTTCTCAATTTTTTTAATATCCTATTATTCAATTTTTATTAAAAAATTTTAAAAAATTATAAAAATAGTCAATAAAAAATAGTCAAATAGTTTTATAGTCAAAAGCGTTATAATGTTATAATGTGTTTCTTTTTTTATCGCAACATGATCAAATTTTTTCTTATAATATAGTATTAGACGCTTTACCAAAGGGCACTGGTTTAGGCTTCTATTTTCATCAAGATATCAATCTGACATTGAATATCAGAAAATACGTGTCTTAGTGATCTTTGATCCCGAATGCATTATTCAGAGTCGCGGTCGTCACCACGACGAAGCGTATCAAATAACCATGTGTATCTGGCAAAAAGTTCACATTACATATGTTGAACGAATAAAAAATTCTCTTCAAGAGGCAGACATATTTGAAAATGTTTAAAACTTTATTTGTTCCTTCACAGCTATATCCAATTACGATGTTATAAACGAGAGAAAACAAATTATGCAATTTTTTTTCTTTACATATACTTAAACCCTTAAGAAATTTATTACTAGTAACGCTAATTAATTACTTATTTCGAAGACTTAAAATACTGATATACAGTAATTTAAGTACTCGAAATAAGTGATAAATTAGCGTTACTATATAGTGATAAATTTTTATAAAGGAATAAGTACACGTGCACTATATTTTCGTATTCGAGAATAATATAAATTAGTAAAGGATATACGGAATTTAAATACTGAAAAAACTTGTTAACTAAACCTTTCAACTAAATATTATTTTATTGAACATATAAAAATATTAAAATAAATATAATATATTAAATCTAACAAAACGTATATTTGACTAATATATGATAAATTATATAATATGTTCAATTAACAAAATAGTAATTAACTTGAAAATTTTGTCAAGTTAACAATTCTTTTTTCAGTCCAATTGAGTGACTGTCATGCATTTTCATTAAAAATGTGGGCTATAGGTATGCCATTTTGAACTGTTAAGAATATGTTGCAGTACATAATTAAAAAAACAGTTCTCAGTATATTTTAGCAATCATCTATAATTTATATGATAATCGAACGCTGCATTCATGCAGAAAAAGGGGGATAAAAACTATTTATTTTGATATATAGCATGAAAAAAGGATTCCTCGTTTTTTAACATTGTAATTTGTAATTTGATATAGCAGTAATGGAACAAATCATGTCTCGATGATTTATCTGCGCAAAAGTAACAATAGTAATTTTTACGCCATGTATTTGCAGATTACTCTTTATGAAATAATGTGCAATAAGTGTTGCACATCACTTATACATCAGATATCTGTATTGCCTTGTTAAAAAAAAAAATATCATTAAATTAACGATAATTACTTATGAAGGATATCAGATATTTCTATTGACATGATAGCAACATTGATATCGATAAAGTGTTAGAAATAGTGTTTCCTAGAAGTTCTCCTTGAACTATTGGTATATATAATATATGTTGTTAATATATCTTGTTTATCTGAAAACTCGATATAAAAATGTACGCATGTTATATATGAACGCAATTTAAAACGGGCAAATTTTTTTTTTTACAATTATTTTTTAAGGTACATTTTATAAAAATGTTGTTGCCATTCTTCACAAATTGATCCAGATATTTACTTATACACTTTTTCTTTTCCACTGACTTCTGACTTTCCGGTTTTATTAGACTTTTAAATAGCTTCACAATATAGGGATCCTCCTCGCAGGTTTTTGGTTTGTTTTTCTGCTCCGAATTTGATAACATCTCCATCTCGATGTTTTCCTCATTCTTCTTCTCGTTGCTTAAATCTTCCGGCTAAAACGTAATATCCTTTTTTTATATGGAAATGATCGCATGATTTCGTCTCGATATTTTATCAAGCTCGACAGTTCATGGACTTTGTTCGCCAACTTCTGTGTCATTAAATATATTTATTTAATCAGTACAAGTGTCGCATTTTTTTACTTAAAAAGCAATAAGTTTATTATTTTTATAAGAAAATAATTACACTTGTTTTGCAATATTTTTTTCTCAAATGGTACTAAATCTAATATTCAAAATTAATGAATTTATGTTTAACATTTATGTCGGTGAATTATTAATTATTAATTATTGCCAGTGAAATTTATTGTCGACTAAATAATTTGTTGCTGATTTGTCGATTTTTGTGATTGCATTATAATTATTTTTGAAACATACTTTTTTCATATATCTTTTCTCGTAAAAATGCTTACCTCGAGAGTCGCTAATTCAGTTTTAGGTTCATTCGTCTTTTCAGGTTTGCTCGCCATAATTGTTAAAAAATTTAGAAAATTTCTTTAATGAGATAAAATTATTTTGCGCAAATTGTATTAGCATTTTCGCTTTTTCTCGCTTTTAACTTCTTGTTCAGGTAGAACTAATTGTAAAATGGAAAATACATATATGAATTTTTAATTTTAAATAACCAACGTAGTGAATTTTTAATTTTATATCTTGTTTGACATTTTGTTCTCGTCATAGTATTAAAATTAAAATTTTAAATTAAAATCCGCATTAAGAATTTAAGTTCGATTATATTATAAATATAAATTATAAACTTGCCTTTAGATTCCCGTCGTGAAAGTATAAATAAGGCTGATAGCGTGTGCAAAGACATCATAACGAGTATACATCTCTGATTAAAATTATCCCAATCAATCAATGCCATTAGAGTGTAAATATAAATTAAATTGCCTTTAAATTTCTGTCAATTAATCATTTTATTTACTTGAGAATTTTAATATACAAGACTCACATAATGGCTGAAAAAAAACAGTCTTTTCACCAAAATATTCGATAAACTCTCGTAGACACAACAAAAGAATCAAGAATTCGAGATATCGCGCATTTAATGTGATATTAATTACTATCGATATAATGACATTTGACATTGTGAACAAATTTATCGGAATTTCTTGAAATCAAATTAGAAATTAGAATTGAGCTAGCATAACATATATATAATAGATATGTACGTAGTAATATAGGAAGATAGCTATCAATGATTATGACCCTGCTGTAGATTAATAGATACATGATGACGTATGCACAGACGTATATGCACATGTGTACGCATACATTTATCATCGGACACGCTAAAAAACTGACCTTGTAGCTAGCATTATAATTCATCTAACGTATCCTGCTGTCTCTTCAACTTTAATCTGACAGAGCAGTCATAACGAGATTCAATGCACGTTATACGTGATGAGGTAATATATTTCCTCTGAAGATACATTGACAAAAATTATATTTGCTTAGAAACACGACACTTGAACTCCAAGATCGCAATTTTCTAGGAAAATTTTCTTTTTTTTGTGTCAGTTATTGCAAAAACGAAAGTTAAAGAAGATTTAAAAAAGAAAATTTTTTAACGAGTTATCAGAGTTAGAGGAGGGAAATTATATATAGGATATTAAATTAAAGACACAGAATATTTTACATGGATTTTTTTTGTAGATTAAGGTTCCTTGATCCCCGCCGCGACCATATTGAATTATGATGTCAGAAGTGAGGAAATACACGCTGAAAATTTTTGTGTGCCATTTTTAGATAAAAAAATATTTCAATGAACCAAGACTACAAAATCCTTTGGCATACTCGTAAGATTATCCGAAAACTATTCTTTTTCCTTGACAGTCAATCAACAGCCGTAAAATCATTTAAACATCAGATTTTTTCATGCGCATAACAAAATCTGATGCAAGAACCAGACAGACTGGGTCTCATATTTCAGTCATTTTACAGCTTTGATTGATTAGGAAGGGAAAAGGTTAGTTTTCGGATAATCTTACGCAAGAGTGCCAAAGAATTTTGTAGTGTTGATTTATTCATTGAGAAAAAAGTGCTGTTGAATAAAAGAAAATGACGTTGATTCAATAAACGTCGACATTATAAACATATGCAGTTGACTCAGTATATCAGTATAAACAAAAGCATGATGTCTTAATTGGATTAATAATGTCATTGAATTAACAAAAAAAAATTTAGCCACATCGAAGTTGTTGATTCAACAGTATTTTTTCTCACAATCAGTGTTGAAATATCTTTTTCTAGCTTTTGACGTTGCGATTTCGACATGGTCGATGAAGCTCAAAGAACTTTAAGATGTTACAGTATAATCATTAGATATGGAATATTACACATAGAGAATTTTTTACAATAATTATTAGATATGGAATATTACACACAGAGAATTTTGTCTTAAAATTTACCCTGAAAATAATAGTAATCGTGGGACAATATTATAAAGGTTTCTCTGATTGATATTTATCAAAATAAAAATATCTAGTACAATAAAATATGTTCGACTAACTTTACTATGTACATATTTTTTATTCTGGTAAATATTAATCAGAGAAACACTTACAAAATTTTTCCAATATCATATTATCTCACACTAAAAAAAGAATTTATCGAATTCGAATAAATATTTATTTCAATACTGCCCATTTATTTGAAACTAATAATATCGATTTGATGTAAAAAATATTTATTTAATATAAGAAAGTCCTTTTCAAAACAGATAAATATTTATTTGTTTTAAATAAATAATAAATAATTTTTTTTAGTGTACGATTAGCATATGATTTTCGGAATAAATTCTAAGAGAAAATTCTCTCTCGATATGGAAAATAAGTGCAGCTGCAAAGAAAAATTTATAGTACATATTTAATGTCGATTCGCTAATAAGAACCGGCCACTTGCGTAATCGCAATGTATCAGAATGTGGAGGAGAATCGTGCGCACGAATGTCTCTTTTCACCTGCTTCCTTTTATTGGCTTTCACTTTGTCGGTGCAATGGCATCTTTCTGGTATATCTGCATATTGAACGCGATTTTCTAATTCGCGTCGCGATTCTGCCAGAATACTTATACATAATTTTTTTCAGCGTAATTTCTTTCTTTTTCACGCTGAAAATTAAATTGCTCGCAATTGGGCAATACCTTTGTATTTAGATATGAGTCACGATTAATCGATACGTTATATCGATCATTTATTATATATAATCTGGTAATCTATTTGATTAGGACTTTTTTCTTCGAAGCTCTATCAGAGATAATCAGAAGTATATGTTAATTCGATTGCATCGATGTGTTACTGAAAGAAAATTATAATAAATTTTGTCTCTTATACAAAGTCATACGAGCTTATAAATTGTATGATTTTTTATTTTTTATAACATGTCATAAGAAAAATATTACAGGATATATTCCATTACAGAGGATATTGTAGGATATTATAACTTACATTTATGTTCAGTAATTATGTAGATACATAATCAAGCATTAATATCTTCCTGCACATAATAAACTAAAGAAGGACGAATTTGCTTAACAATAAAAATCGATTGTAATTGAATTTTTATTACGTGATATTTTTATTTTCGTTGATTGTTATGAGATACTGTATATAGAATTATATTGAAATGATATAATTAATAATAGATATGAGTAATCTATATACATAGTAGTAATCTATATATATAGATATAAGTATACTTAATATATGTATGCAATTCTTAAATATCGCAATAAATGCGATGCTTTTGTTTACATTACATATTTTCGATTATAACTTCCAGAGATTATACAGTTAAAATAATTTATTGCACAGTTTATAATTTATGTTAATAAAATAGTCACATTTACGAAGACACGTACTTTTGTTAAAAATATCATAAAATATTATTATACTACAAAATAATGTTATAAAAATGCGGAAAATCTTGATCTTATCGTAATTATCTGAAGATTTATAGAAAAATTAATGAAAATATGCGCGGATGCTACTTTTTATACCACTTTATGCAAATTTATCTGGATAACAACAATGTACTTATTGCACATGCCGCACCCTGTTAGACTTATTGTTAGACTATTTTTACATTAAAAATATTTTATAAGTATCTTATATATTTTACAATATATTTTATAGTTTTAAACAAAATTAAACAATCATATATAGTAGGCCAACTAAACGAGCAAATAAATAAGATGTAAAATTTTTTTTATTAATAGTTAAATCATTAAATTAACATTCCGTTACAGAATCGATATAAATTGTAAACGTTTCGACTGCACTACAGTCTTTATCAATACATAAAAATTAAATATTAAAATATAAAGTTAGATGTTAAAAATACAAAGTTAGTTAAATATTAAAATATAAAATTGAAACGATTCTTCGCTGTTGACCAATAGATATGCAAGGCGATTGGTCTGAGATGCCAAGTTATGCGACATTTGAGCATGCTACGGATATAATACGCGAATTAAATCAATGTCAGAAAAAATTAAAAAATCTTTCAACTTACATTATCGTTTTAACAAGTCCTTTTCCCCGATATTTCAAGTGTGTGTTGCGAAGTCTGAATACCAAATGTCAAAATAGAGAGCGTGATGTATTTATTTATTACCAATGTTTTTTCTAAATTATGATTCAGCAAATTTTTTAAGTATGTCAAAATAACTACTGTCTAACAATTCGGTGTCTGTATTTAAATTAATTCCATTTTTCTGTTCTTTAATGTGGATCATTTCAGATATTAGTCTTTTTTGGTAATTCTTTTCATGATCCATAATTTTAATATTGTCCCAGTCAAATGTATGTTGTTCGTTTAGAATGTGTTCCGTGATAACCGAATGTCTAGCAGAGTCTAATTTAATATTATTTTTATGTTCTTTAAGTCTCGTTCCTAACTGTCTTTTTGTCTGTCCGACATATGTGGCGTCACAATCGTTGCAATTCAATTTGTAAATAACGTTAGAATTCGTGGGGCAATTATTTTTGTCCTTTTGAACTCTTATGAAGTCATTTAATTTTTTAATGCAACGATATCCTACCACTACGTCAGGTCTTCTTATTGCTGAAGCAACTTTCTCAGATATTGATTCTATATATGGTATGACAAAATATTTAATGTTAGTATTAGTATTATTAGTATCTGTTATATTGTTATTATTAGGCTTGTTAAATTTCTTAGTTGAGAGATTTTTTAATCTGCGTTTTATTTCTGTGAAAATTAGATCAAGAGGATAACCGTTGGATAGCAAAATGTTAATAGCTTTCTCTATATTTTTTTTGTGAAATTGCGGATGTGATAGTAATAAAGCTCTATCTACCAAGTTATAAATTGTTCCTATTTTATGACAAGTCGGATGATTTGAAAAAAATGAAAGTAATCTACCTGAGAATGTCTTTTTGTGATACCAATCTAAATAAATTTTGTTATCTATTACTTTGATCATTATGTCTAAAAAGCTTATACAACGATT